GTCTCCAGAGTATTTGGAATTGCAGACATGTGCCACTGTATCCAGCTCCTTTTTATTTTTCAAGATAGAACCTTGCAGTTGCCCAGGATGGCCTTAGAACTTGTGGTTCTCAATCTGCCTCAGTCACCAGAGTAGCTAGGACTACAGGTGTACACAGCCACGCCCAGCTACATTCAATATTTTCACAATACTATCCTTCCAGTGATATCCTATACAAATGTTTATAAATTTATGTATATGTAACATAGTATACTCAAATATTATTTTTATACATAAATATACTCAAATACTATTTGAGATATATTTTATGTTTAAGGTATATACATATAAATTGTATCTCATATAGTAAATATACTATTCACTCTTCTGAATTTTGCTTACTTTCCACTCAGTAATATATCTTAGAGAATGTTTCACATCACAATAAAAGCACTATCTTATGCTTTTGAAAATCTACACATCCTTGGGGATACCTGATAATTTATGTAATTAGTTCTGTATTGATGTAACAAGTTCTTACTGATAATTGATTTCAGTCTTTTGCAATTTCAAACAATGCTGCAAATATTTTGCCATGATATTAAACAAATGTATACATATACCTGCAAGAAAAAATCCTAGGGGCAGACTTGCTAGATCAAAATATACATATGTTTGTTGTCTGATAGCATCTACTAAATAAGTTTGCATTCTAAACCGAGTGTGTAAAAAAGCTGCTTTTCCACACCCTTATCATAGAATATTTCAAACTCTCTGGCTACATGAAGAACTGGTTCATTCTTAGTTTTAAAATGTATATTTCATTTAATATGAATGAGACAATATTATTAAAAATTAGAATTTTTAATAAAAGAAAATGAATGAAATATATTTTCATGTTTGAAATCTACTTTTTCTTTTCTGTGAACTGTTCATATTCTTTAACTGTCAGGCTATTACCCTTTTTCTAGTTGATTTTTAAAAGCTCTTTATATATTAAGAAACCAGACTTTCGTTTTCATATGGATTACAAATTGTTTCTCCTAATTTACCTTTGCATACAGATTTAATTCTATTTTTAGCATGAAGAAATTTTCTATCCAGCTATTTGATTAAAATTCTTTATTGTTTATAATTGTTTTCATGATCTTTGGGTTTTTCAAAGATGTGTAATCTTATCATCTGCAAATCATAACAGTTTGGTTTCCTGCTTTCTGAAGTCTTTCTCTAGTTAATAATAATTCCGCTGGTTAGATCACCTCCTTGCTCCTGGTTTTAACAGGAATGCTTCCAAGTGTTCATCATTAAAGATGATACCGGCTTTGTCTGGTAACTATTTCTCTACAGAGGTTTCTGAATCCGTTGAACTGAACAATTCATTTTATGAGTATTATCTTCCCATGCTTATCAATCAGTTCCATCAGTTTTCTTCAGTGTCAAAGAACAGCTTTAACTACATGGTTGTTTAGGCAAAAGAAATAATACCAATCTGGCAGGCATGGTGGCACATGCCTATAATCCCAGTGGCTCGGGAGGCTGAGGCAGGAGGATGGAGAGTTCAAAGCCAGCCTCAGCAACTTATCGAGAACCTAAGCAACTCAGCAAGGTCCTGTCTCTAAATAAAAATTTTTATTAAAAAAGGGGTGGGATGTGGCTCAGTGGTTAAGCATCCCTGGGTTTTTAATCCCAGGACCAGGGTTGGGGAAGGCAGGGGAGACTTAACATCAAATCTATGACTTGCAATCACATTATGCTATTCCATAAATAATTCATAACTGCTCATTAAAATGGTAAGTCCATCTTTATCACGCCTTACGCATTATAAAAAGGCAGATACCTCACATTACAGAGAGGAAAGCGGAGTCATGAAAAGGTTGTCATTCTACACGCCCCCTCCCTTTCTTCATTGTGCTACTTGGTGAGTTAGGCTCTGATTGCCCAGCCTGTGTTTTGGCCACCAGAAAGCACCATGGCCTTCAGAGAACTCAGCGGTGCCCAAAGTACAAAGAAAATGGGCTGCCATCTACAACTGAAGCTTCGCACATTCTCCTCCAGACTCCTGAAAGCAACCTCTAACTTGGATTCAGGAGCTTAAAACATCTGAAATGCATCACCCAGCAGCCAGCAGAATAGGTTCATGCTCAGTGATACATGATGTTGCCGACATTCCTCAGCCAATTAGAATTCCTTTCAGCTGCAATGGAGGTGCACACAGCTGGAATTGCAGAGCGGGGCGCAGCACCAGACGCATTGATTATACATTACTTAAGCCTTGTTTTAAAACAATAAAAGGTTTTCTTTCCGTTAATCCAGAAATGTGGAAACAACATTCCATTTAGTTTAAATATCCAAATGGGTTAAATTGCATCTGTAGACACAACAGTAATTCTAACATTTTTTTAAAAGATATGCTGATCCACATGGCTCGGTGCTTTTGTTTTTACAACACAGCTCCACTGCTCTCCTTTAACTACAATGGCCTTAGGGACTTTAGTCAGCTGAGAAAGAGCCAGAGAGTGTACTATGGACAACAAACAAATTTAAATTGAGGGTTTTTCTCTTGATAAAATTCACTTATCAAACAATAAACTAAGCAGTGGTTTAAGTTGCTCAATAATAAAAACAGATTTTTTAAAAATCTTTGTTTAAAAATATTTAGGCTCTAGAATGGTTCTGAAATTACAAAAAAAAAAAAAAATGATTCAAAGTAAGAATCCCAAAGGTTCCCCACCAGAACATCAGAGCACTGTGAAGATGTGGTAATATTTCATCCATTCTGAGTTTTTGGAACCACTTAATAAAATGCAGAATTTGGCTGTTCTAGCTTTTAAACAGTGCCCATAAATGTGTTACAAAACCAGGCTAGTTAACAGATCATTAAGCTAATGTTGAAATATGGATTTCCGCTCCCCCTCAATTCATAAGAAACTACTTCGTGAGTAATCCAGCCCCCAGAACCTCTCCTCCACTGAACCAGGATGAAAATTCATAGAAGAGAAGGGGAAATCCAACATTCAAGAAACAACTTTCATGGTTGCAAAAATATACAAGTTTTGGACTGAGAAATAAACCTAGAGTAAAAAACTGTAAATTGATAGATCAGAACTACTTTTCAAATGAAAGTAGAAATAAAGTATAGGACAGATTTTGCCCCAGCATGGTGGCTCATGCTTCTAATTCCAGAGGCTCAGGAGGCTGAGTCAGGAGGATCCCAAGTTTAAAGCCAGCCTGGGCAACTTTGCAAATCCTCTCTCAAAGTAAAAAATAAAAAGGACTAGGGATATAATTCAGTGGTTAAGTGCCTCAGGGTTTAATCCCTGGTACCAAACACACACACACACACACACACACACACACATCACCCACAAATGTTATCAAATCACAAAATCATCGATAGAACCTGTATTTGACAGAGGTGATTCCTTTTAAAATATAAAAGTAAGCTCTGCAGCAACATTTGATCTAACCTAGCCTACAAGCTTAGATAATTCAGTACAAAGAAATGCCTTACCTGTACCCTCCTAACTTTGAGGCAGACTCCAGGGAAATGTCAAGTACACTGTGATACAGAGCACGGCTAAAAACTAAACAGATCACTTAGTCCATTTTATCACAGTTGTTGAAATAAAGTTCTGTATGCCTTATTAAGTGAGGTTCTTTGCTGGTGCAATTGCTACTCTTCAAAATTATCTTAAGAGAAGCTTAACTATTTTGAATCAATTAGGTCACCTAGTATCAATCAATTCAAATTTTAACAGCTATTACTAACAACTGTATCACTCCAAGTTGCAAAATCCAAATGCCAAACACAAACCACCTTATATTACATATGCTCCAACATTTAAAATATCCTTGCATTTCCATATACTACCAATGAAGGTCTTGTTCCCCTCCCTCTAATTGGAATTAGAATTTTTCTCTTCACAATATACAGTCACAACCAAAAGACATAAAAAACACAAGGAGATCTGACAATATTTCAAGGCATATAAGTATTTCAACTAAATGGTTAACATCAGAATAAAATTTAATATTTTTCTGAAGAGCACTGTGGAACCCTTAGAGCTCAAAATTCCATTCTTTGACCCAAAGTGGTGCAAATAATGTATCTGGGATTCATTTGTATACCACAGAAGAACAAAGTTCTTGCAAATCCTGCTTGAACTTCAAACTAAAATGTTCCCAAAAGTGTTTGATTTGTCAGTGAACTGGTAAGATGTCTGCAAGGTAATACTTTTTAACAAAAATCACTTGGTTTTTGTATATATTATGCCCCCCAAAGTAATGAAATTATTTTAAAACCATTTTCCTACTAAAATACCACAAAGACATTCATTAAAATTACATTATTTTAAATATAAAACTCATTCTTCTACTGTTTAGACCAGATTTCCAAAGCAGCTCACCATATTGCCCAATAGTTTTCAAAACAAAAAGGGTCCCACAGGAAGAAAGGAAAAAAGCATAAATGTAATCAATATATAAAATTAATGTGTGGCATAAATCCCTCAACACAAACTCTTGAATATCAGGAGTGAGAACAACAGAAAGTATATACACCCAACAGCAATTAAAAATAAGTGAGTAGCCAAATTGATACGTCCTGTGAAAAAGAAGCTCAACGAATGTTATAAGAGTTAAAATCTCATCTCATAAATGAGGAAACTGAGACGCAGAAAGGTTAAATAATTTGTTCCATATCATGCAGTTAATGATAGATCTAACCAGTCCAAGTTTCCTAATCGAAATCTAATGCTCTATTCACCAAATATAGTTGTGGACTCCATACACTAAATGTTCTTTAATAATCCCCATGTTTTTATTCTGGTTGTATTCCGTTATGCTCTTTGTGATATTCATTAACTAATTACAAAATTGCTCATTTTACATTATTTTTTTTCAAATATCAAATGTGAAAATAAACTCTGAAAGCCTATAACTGAAGTATTCAACTTTTGAAAGATGACCACCCAATGTTTCAAATTTCCTTTAACCATAAACATCAGGCCAAAATGCCTTACCTTCAACACATTTGAGACTACTGGGATCACATAGGTACACAATCACCACACTCATTAATAACACCTACTGGGGGAAAGGGAAAAGGTTCTAAAAGAACACTTATCACCTGATCCTTCCCTGTCAAAGGCCACCCTAACTCTAAAGCATTTCTGCATCCATAACATCTAAACTAAGTTCTCCCTTTCACAAGGAAAAGACCCAGATCAGTCAACTAAGATGGGTTAACATATATATCCACCTGACACAAAACACCTTAATTAAAACCTATTCCTTCTAAAACATTCATCTCATTTCTACAAAAACTTCCCAAATCGGATACTTCTGCTTTTAACAAGAAAACTGAAAACAATCTGGTATCAATTGCAGGTTACATTGTAAGTCAGAACCAATGTTGTCACAACTACAATGTCCAAAAAAAATGTGATTTAACAGTAACCACAAATAACTATGTATACACAGAAGTGTCTGCCCTGCTATAAAAGGTGTAGGTTTCTCCAGAAGCACAGATCCGGAGGATATACCTGTCACTTTACAAAACCAGGGTCTGGGATTGGGTTCATATTATCTGACCTGATAGCTTTATACAAAAATAACAACGCTTTTCTTAAAAGTAAACCTGGATCACTTAACAACTACAGACTTTCAAAGTAAATTCAGTTTGAAAAAAATTACCTATTGTTTTTACGGATTTTTTTTTACCACTGACTTTATGGCTATGCATGTGCCATAAAATTTCAAAATGCTCACTCTTGCCTTTGAAAGAACCTGACTAGACCGCCTTTGGAGTCAACGGACTGGTTACTAAACAGAAAAATCCAGGGGGAAAAAAAATCCCTGACAGGCATTAGAATGAACTTTTTATTTCCTTCTCAAACTGAAAATATTCGAGTTTGGAAAGTCCCAAAGAAGAACCCTATCTGCAACACTCCAGTCCAGCCTTAGGGTAGAATCTGAAGCCCTGGGGGATGAACCGGGAGGAGAGGCAGCAGCAAGTACAGAGGAGAGGGAGGAGGCAAGACAAGGCTGCAGGTTGGCCTAGGATCTGCTGTAGCAGAAAGCTCGCATCTCCGCGCATCCAAACCACCACGTCGCAGGCCCACAGCAGAGATTCGCGCTCACCCTTGAAGGTGGCACTACAGAGCCACCTAGGAAACACGGGCATTTCATTGAAGACTAAATGGGAGTGAATCAAGGAGCCTGCGCCTGTGCAGCTGCCACAGCCTCCAGTGTGCGGGAGGGGGATCGCGCCCAACCGGGGCTCAAGGGTGTTGAGTCGGGGTGACCGCGAAGTGCGAGACAGAAAACCAAGAACTGAAGAAGCATAGTCAGGAGCAGACAGTGGCCTGGCCAGAGGGAAAACGGAAGTGGACTAGACTGAAGCGCTGGACCACGGGAGAAGCGAGGAGAACCGGACTGGGTGACGCTCGCTACTACACAGGCTTGAGGAATTCGGGTCTGAAGGAAAGAAAGGGTGGAGGCCGCAAGACAGAACGAGGGGGCGGGGCTGGGAGATAAGCGAGGGCGGGACTAGGTAGAGGAGAGGGGCGTGGCTTAGGGAAAGTGAGGGGGCGGGGCCAGGGAGGGAGAAGGAAGGAGGCTGGGGGAAAGGGAAGCGAAGGATGGAGGAGAGGAGGGGGCGAGGAGGAGGTGGGGAGAAGCAAGGGGAGCAAGTGGGGTGGGGGAGGAAAGCAAAAGACAGGGTGGAAGGGGAAGAGAAGCGGTACGGGGTACAAGGAGGGAGAAGTGAAAGGGCAGGTTGGAGAAGAGGAAGGGAAGCAAAAGAGGATGGAAAGGTAGTGGGAAGCAAGGGTCGGGACCAGAGGAGGAAAGCAAGGGGGCAGATGGGGGAAGCGGGAGGGAATGGAGGAGGCTGGTGGGGGAGAGAAAGGGAAGCAAGGGGGAGGATGGAGGGGGCGAAGACAAGGGGGTGGCGAGAGAGCAAAAGGGGAGCGCGAGGGGGCGGGGCCCGGGAGAAGCCGGGGGCAGGTGTGGGGGAGAGCGAGGGACGCGGAGGGGGGCGACCGCGAGGGGGCGGGGCCGGGGAGCGGCGAGGGGGCGGGGCCGGGAGGGAGAAGCGAGGGGCACACGCCGAGGGGGGTGACGAGGTCCTGGGACAACGGCCGGCGTGGGGGAGGGCCACTTCCAAGGGCGCCCTGCGGGGAATTCCGGGGCTGTGCGGGGGTCGAGGGGGCGCCCGAGGGGCGGGTGGGCCTCCCGCCAGCCGTACCTGTCAGACGGATCTTGATGCTGGAGCCGTTCCTGCGCGTCCCAGGGTTCGACATCTCCCGCCAACGATCCGGCAGCCGCGGATCCAGCGCCGCCGCCCCCCGGCCCGGCCCGGCCCGGCCCCGCCGCCGCCGCCTCAAGGTTACGGCTCCGGGCTGGGCGCCGGGGTCCGAGCCGGGACACAAACTCCGCGGCCCAGGCGTCTGGGCGGTGGGCGGGTGGTCCAGCCCGGGAATCGGCGCTCGGCCCGGCGCTCCGACCCTTGCTCCAGCCAGCTGAGCCCAGTTCCGAGCCGCCGCCGCTGCTTCCACCTCCTCAGAGCCGGACGCCCGCCGCCCTCGCCGCTTCCGCCGCCGCCGCCTCCCGGAGCCGCGCGCGTGCCCGGCGCCGTGCCGGCCCGGCCCTGCGCGTCCCCGCGCCGTGCGCCCCCGCGACTGCGTGCGTGCGCGTGCCCGCGGGCCACGCCGAGGCGGGGCGGGGCGCGGCGCGCCGCGACGTCGCCCGCCAGCTCTCCTGCCTAGCGCGCGCGGGTCCAGGAGCTCGGGCCTGGGGCTTCGCGCCTCTTGCGCACGGTGTATACCCGGAGAGCTGGAGCTGCCCCGGACCGCGCACCTGGGCCCGGGCGCGGGTAGGAAGGCGCTGTCCGCGCACCGTCGCCTTTGGTCGTGACCACATTTCCTGAACAACTGATTTGCAGATGCGGTTGAGGTTCAGGGAATGAATTTGCTTTCCAGGTCTCCAGTGTCCTAAAGAGCTATGAAATGGAGAGTTGCGTGAGACGATGGCCTGTACCTACACTAAGCACCTTGCATACGGGCATTCTATTCCATTTTTGAGTAAAGAGCTTTTAGATCCTGCAAGTTCAAGGGGGGGACTTCCCAAAGAGACAAACACTTAGGTGTACTCTGTGCAACCAGTGTGTTCTATTGACCTGTAACCAAAGTTGCCAGAATCGCAGGAAGTACCAAATATGGACAAGGTGAGCAGATGAGAAAGATAAAGTTGACAGGTAGATGTTTGCTATTATGCAATCTGCAGATGGTTAAACTAAACAGGAGCAATAGGCCTTGTGTTCACTTGCTTTTTGCTACATTTCCCCTCCTCCCAGAGTTGCAGATAAAAACTAAAAGCAATGCTTTCTCATGCAAGCAAATTCATCTCTATGGTAACATGTTATAGAGAGGAAGTAAAGTAAATGTTATTAGGAAAAGCTGGGTTTGTTTATCAAACTTATACTTGATCCGCTTCCTAATTCATTTAACTTACAAATTCTTGGAGTGCCTTTATTTGGTTTGTGTCCCAAGGAAACGAGGGGCCCTTGCTGTATTCTATGAAGCCTTGAGCCTTTCCTGAGGTCACAGTCTTTAGATTAGAGACCACTTCCTAGAGCACTTTGACATGCCTCCCTGTCTCAGGCTAAGCCCAGTAAAAGCAGTCTCTGGTGGGCTGGTTTCAAGAGGTCCTATCTTAAAGCCTCAGTCCATCAAATAAAAGGCTGACCCCAGACCATTTCTAAGGCCCTTTGCAGCTCAGACTTTCAAGGATCCTAGTGAAATAATCAAGAATATGAGCAACAGATCCAAATCCAGCTCTGCTTCCATTTGTGGGCAATTGTCGCTAGAATGAGCCCTTAGTAACTGTATGAATCTGACCAGGGTCTCTAATGCCTCCAAGTAATTCCTATTCTTCTCTCAAACCAGTCAGTACTTCCTGTTTGAAAAGCATCTTCCCTCTCCCTTTCTTTTTTCCCCTTCCTGCTTACAGGAATCCAGCCTCCAGTTCCTGTCCCCAGCTGTTCCTGACCTTGAAACCTTTCCTTGCTTCACCTCATTGTTTACTTACCTGCCGAGGTGTCTAGGCCTTTCTTTGCTTGGTTGTTTCCTCAACCTGTGAGTCACAAGTTTGCTTCTGGAGGTGACTGAAAGTCATTTCCTTTACTCATTACACGTAGTTCATGTTGTCATGTGACTAGATACACACCTAACCGTATTTCACAACATCCTGATCAAGGAGGACTTTCCTAGGTGAAAGCTAATGTTTTATTCATTCAACAAACATCAACCACCTACTATGTGGCTAGGGACAAGGAACTCAAATCAGTCACAGCTTCAGCATTTTGAAGACTTGGTTAACTGAAACAGACATGAACAGCTAACAGTGATTCCACAACAGGGATGTGTGCAGAGGACTAGAACATAGATTGCAGAATAATTCTGCCTGAGAGAAATGAGAATATCTCAGAAGAGTCACAGAAGGCCTTGGTCTGGGGCCTTAAAAACAATGTTCAAGTTTGCAGGCTGAAGAACTGGGGAAAGGGCATTAGAGACAGGAGGAACAGCCTAAGCAAAGGTGTGAGAATAAGAGCATTTTCCAGCTCAGTTTTCAGTAGAAGTACCATTATGTAGCAGCACTATGTTCAGTCCACACACTTGACTGCATTAAAAGTTGACAAAGATGACAAAAGGTATTTGCTCACTAAAAAATCATCAACCACTATTTTATTACAAGGCTGTGAGCCTGGCCCTCATTAACTTTAAGGTCTATACGTTCATCGTTTATCAAATCTGTCAAACATACTCTTTTTCTAGAACTATCTGGAATAAATAGATACGAAATGTCAAACAATTCTACTGAGACAGAAATGGCACTCGGTGAGTCTCTTCAAGTGTCCTCTTTGCAATGGCTTTACAAACAGCAGTTTTGACCCTGGTTTCTGTGTAGGACTTGGCAGCTGATTTTATTTCCCTGAAATGTATCCCTTTCCGGTGTCAGAGTTATTGGGCATTTGAGACATTTTCCAGTTTAAGGAAAAAAAAAAAAAAACCTCTGCAATAATTTTTAACCCTTATTTTTTGAATCCCAAATGTCTTTGAGGATCCGATAGACACTCTAGACCCTTCCCCCAGAAAAATTGAAATGTGCAAATACACATCATTTTTCACCTGATTTCAGTGGGTTTATGATTGCCTGAAACCAATTTGTGGATCTAGTATGGGACCATAAACCTTAGACTAAGAATTCCTACCCTAAAGGAAATGATCAAGCAAATAACACTGGGAGTATACCAGATGTACATGTTCGGGAGCCAGATCAGGAATAGACTCTTATATACAGGAATCAGTTGTGCTAAAAATTGCGCAGCTGTGACCCACACGACCCACATTCTCCCCCGACTCTACCACCACAGCTAATGCTAAAGAAAGTTAATGAAATTCTACATGTTTTACTTTGCTCATCTGTAAAATGGGGATAATACTATCACTCCTTGAAAGCTACTGGTGAGTCTTAAATTAAATCATGGATGTGGATTTAGCAGTCTAATACAGCAGGCCCTCGGTAAATGGTAGTTCTTATTAACACATCTAAAATGTGTGGAGCAGGCTTTGCTCCAAAACCTACTAGTGCTATTACCCTGAGGAAATCTGCTGGGATATTTCACAGAGGATCCCTAGTGGGACTGAACAGCTATAGCAAATGCCTCTTGAGAACACGTTTCTGTACCTGAGATGGAGCCTCAGAGCCTGCAGCCACATCAAAATTAGCCTTTAAGGTCACAGCCACAAATAGGATCTAGGCTTCTTTTGCCTTTCACCTATACATCAAATTTTTAAACAATTGGATGTAGAAAATTGGAACTCGTGAGCACATTTATTCTCTTGTTTTCTTTTTGTTTATTCATTTTGGTGCTGAGGGTTGAACTACAAAAAAACCCAGAGCTTCACACATGTTATAGGCAAGTACTCTATCAGTGAGCTACATTCCTAGCCCTTCATTTATTTATTCCCAGAGGTCTTTGGGCTTTTTCTCTGAATTAAACCGAAACTAAATATCACCACTATGTGAGCTTTGCTATATTATTATTGATCAGGTTTATAACTTAGTTTTTTTTTATTTTCATCATATTTTTTATAAAATAGACTAACATTTTATTTTTGAAAAAAACTAAGCAAAGTATACATAATCAAGCTTAATAGGAGAAGGAAGTCTCTCTCTCTCTCTCTCTCTCTCTCTCTCTCTATGTGTGTGTGTGTATATATATATATATATATATATATATATATATACTTTTAACTGGCACAGCAAAAGCAACAAGAGTGTGTACTTATATACAACTGATCAAAATAAGAACCAGCCTGTAATCACAGAAACTTGGGAGGCTGTAGCAGAAAGACAGCAAGTTCAAGGCCAGCCTAAGCAACTTGGCATGGCCCTAA